TGATTATACTCTTTAAGACAAAATCTTTCGACGTAACATGTACAAATAATAAGCAAAAGACAAAAATAAAACACACTAACAAACGTCACAAATATTTCATGTGGTGGTGGTATTTACGATTATCAATGTTTTTATTTTTTTATGATGGCAACCATACACACATTTTTCAAACGAAAAGTTGGTCAACGTTTATCGAACATAAATAATTTAAACGTTAGTAGTGGTGGTAATACGGATTCATCAAGTGACACTTCATCATCAACAACTGAACGTTTAAATAATCAAACAAACGACGGCTATAGTAGTACATCAACATTAGGTCTTTTATCAGTTAATAGTGATGATTCTATGCGACGTCCTTTACTTAATGTACATACAAAAAGTCGTCAAAAAAAATTTTTATCACGTCTAATTCATAATACGACAACAATGGATACTGAACAAGAACAGTCAATTGAAGATACTCTTTGTTTACTAGATAAAAAATTACCTAAAGAACTTGTTTTAAGGTAAAAATAATTATTTAATTTTTCAGATGAAAGAGATTTCTTTTATATTTGTTTTTCATATTTTAGAATCTTTTCTTATCTCGATTATAAATCACTTTGTCGATGTGCACAAGTTTCGAAAGTAAAAGATAAATATTTTGATTAATATTGACTAAGGTTTTTTTTATGTTCTAGTATTGGAATACACTTGCATTAGATGGTTCTAATTGGCAAAGTATTAATTTAAAAACTTTTCAACGTGATGTTGATGTATGTTGATTATTTATTTGATTGATATGTAATCGTTTTGTTTTTTGTTTTACAAGGGTAATGTTCTCGAAAATTTAAGTAAACAATGTGGATTATTTTTAAAACGATTAAATATTGAAAATTGTAAATTTATTACCGATCTTAATATGCGGTATAAAAATTTTTTGCTTTTGTGTTTTTGTTTTTTTGATTTTAAAAATCTAAACTTTATATTTAGAAATCTTGCTAATAATTGTCCAAACTTAGAACGAATAATTATAAAACATTGTACAAAATTATCTAATACGTAAATTAATAAAAAATATAATTTATTTATTATTTCAATTTAAGCAACTTTTTTTTTTTTAGAACCTTATATCACTTGAGTAAATTTTGTTCCCATTTAACTTATCTTAATATTGCATCATGTCATCATATTGATGATCAAGGCATTAAAATGCTCAGGTAAGAATTGAGTTTTTATATAAAAAGAAAAAAAAAAGAAATCTTATTTTCTTAATTTAGTTCTAATTGTTCGACTTTGGAATGGTGTGATATATCGTGGTGTATGAATATAACTGAGAATGGTATTCGAAATCTAGCAGAATCATGTCCAAAGCTAACAGTATTTAAAGCTGAAGGATGTACACATGTAAAATAAAAATAAAAATAAAAAATTTAAATTTTCGAATAAAATTATTATATTTAAGATGACTAATAATGCAGCAAAAGAACTTGCAACAAATTGTCCAACACTATTATTTCTTGATCTAAATCGTTGTTCTGTAAGTTAATAAAAAAAAAAATCAGTATTTAATTAAAATGAATTTTATTGTAGTCCCTAACTGATGAGGGTCTTATAATTATTGCTGAACATTGTCCATTACTTAATGCATTAATCATTGCCAATTGTAGAAATTTAACAGATAGTACATTAATAGCACTTGGAAATTATTGTCATCAATTAAAGTAATATTTAATTTTTTCTATAGAGAAATAGACATTGAATTTTATTGATATTTGCGGTTTGTTTTTTTTCTTTTTAGAAGACTTGATGCAACTTTATGTTCACAATTTACTGATGCAGGATTTTTAGCAATGGCTCAAGTAAATAATTTGAGAGATATTTTTAGAAGAATATTTTTATATTTGATTATTTTAGGGTTGCCATTTATTAGAACGACTTGATCTAGAAGATTGTACAGCTGTAAGGAAAAGTTTCGAATTAACTAAATCAATGATTTTAATCATTCGAATCCTTGTTATATTTTTTCGAAACGAAAAATATGTTGATTTCTTCAAGGAATCACAAAAAATAGAGATGCCAAAAAAGAATTTTTGCTTTATATAACAATCAACGGTCGTTTTTTTTGTATTTCACGAAGTTCCTGAAACTTTCTACTGCGCTGACAACACTTCATTATCTACTAATTGGAATGTAACAGATTTTTAAAGACTAGCTAGGAAATACTAAAGATTTCCCTTTTTCCATTTACGTCACGTTCTTGTTAATAGATAATTAGTGTTATTAAACCTAATCAAATGAACTTGATCTATAGGTAGTTGAAATATTTATTTTCTTATAATATATAATTTAATATGATATTAAATAATTTTAAGATCACTGATGAAACGTTGAGACATCTGGCTGATAATTGTCATGAAATCCAAATTTTGGTAAACTAATTGTTTATTTATTTTTTTTTCTTAGAAAAATAAAATTACATATTTCTTTTATTTTAAAGACTCTTTCACGATGTGAACAAATCACAGACGAAGGTGTTCGTTATATTGGTTCAAGCACTTCTGCTCAAGAAAATCTTCACATTCTTGAACTTGATAATTGTCCAACAATAACAGACAGATCCATTGATTATTTACTTGCATGTCAACATCTTCAACGTTTAGATATATTTGATTGTCAACAAGTATCAAAAAATGCTATCAAAAAAATACAAGTATACATATATTTATTTGTTTAAACTTAAATTATCTATAATATTATCTATGTTTTTTCATTAGACACATTTTCCGGATTTAAAAATTCATGCATATTTTGCTCCACGTACTCCCACACAGACTAATCAACGTACAACATCATGTCCATTTTGTTGTTGCACATCATGTTCAACATGTACATTTTCATGTTGCATTATTGCTTAAATTTTTATCTTTTTTTTTAAATATGTACAAGTATTTTTTTTTTCCTTATTTATTGTATCTATAAGCATTTTGTTTTTCTTCTCATTGAAACAAATTTTTTTGGCGGATTGATTTGGCAATTGTATCCAGTGTATATATTTATTTAGATGAACACATACGAATACATTCGTTCAACAATCAGTCTCTTTTTCTTTTTGTTTTTTTTTTTTTTATCATATGATTATTTACTTCGCATTTTTTTTCTTCATCTTTGATTGTCGATTTAATGTGCATGTTTTTAAAGGCATAACTCTCTTTTTCAGTTCTTTTTCTCTCTTTTTTTTTGCTTATTCTTTTAAAAGAAGCCAAAATAAACTGATTCTTAGCGACATACAATGACGTGCAAGTTAAACGAATTGTTTTTGTTAAAAATCTTAAAAATCTAGATGCTGTTAATAGAAAAAAGCATTGAAAAATAGGTTATAAATGTTACTGATATGTAATAAAAGCAAAAGAACAATAAACTATTCGAATTTATGATGTCTATTGTTAATTTGACAAAGAATATATGGATGTAAACTTGTATGACTCAGTTCTTTTTTGACTTTTTCCGATATGAAATTTATTGAAAGATAGTGATTAGCAATGCAGATCAATAATATTAGTCAACTTTACATTCTTATTACGATTGTCTTCAAGCGACAAATATATTCACAAGACAAAGCAAAATAACCTATCAATAATGTATTAATCGTTATCATCCTAGATTGCTCCTGGCAAATTTAATGAATAGTTAATAACGAAATTTTTTGAAAAAACACTGTATATTTAAAAGTTACGTGGGAATCAAAATCGATCATAGATTCAAAGCAATATAACTTGCTGAAGAATTATAAGTTTTCTTTTGAAATATACCTGTTTTGATGTTCGTAACCTCAGTTTGTTTTGAATATGTTGTTGACCGTAGAGAAGGAAGTACTTTTTCTAACAAGGAAATGAGATTGTGATAGATCAACAAAAATATTTTTGAAGTGCACTCATCATTTTAAAAGCATGCTTGTTTTTTTTTTTAATTTTCTTTTGTTAAATATCTTCTACTTAAAATACATATGTTCAATGCCATTACAGTTCTTTCTATCAAAAATAATTTATTTAGATGATCATAATATCACATTTGTCTCGACAAAAAATTTTGATATTCTAACACTAAAGTGCATGTTTACAAGTTAAAAATGTGAAGCATTTCGAGGAAAATGACTTAGTTTTCCAATGCTACAAAGTAAGCATTCATTGAAAAAATATACTTTTCTTAGTCAGCATCTCAGACAAAATCTGCTTGCAGCATCAGCAAATATAAAGAGTAGTGTTAATATCATCAAAATCGTAACAATGTGGATATTTTTAGTACACAAAATTATTGATATCGACTGTTATGTTAGACACGATGATAATTTTCATACAAATGACAATATCGATTAAGACTCCGCTTATACCAGTCTTTTTGAAACAAGACACATCATCTTCATATTGGCATATGTAGTCATGTAGCTAATCTTTTTGTAATGTAGCAAATGTCTGCTGATATAGTGAATACTAGAGCTTTGTCTGAAAGCATTTATAGTATTCTAGGGTTAGTCTATTTCAATAATGGTTTTGTTCGATAATGCAACAGCTGTTTTTTACAACATATGATAGCAAAATCCAATTTTATCAATCGAATTTTATTTTTATTTGAACTAGCGACTAAAACATTCATCATATTTTTTTGCAATTCAAAAAAAGGTCATACACGTCATGATTACCTATTTTCGCACATAGTATGAACTTCCAGAGCCATCTTTCGATCTGTATAGATAGCCGTTTTTACTAAACCAATCTTGAGTAGTTTACAATATTCGTTCTTATTCTTGAATATTGCCCAACACTACACACAACTTTTTTCGCCGTATTATTTTATCCATCTATTTGTTTTTGAGATCGTCCTGATTTTCGAAAAATATCACTACCGATAAGTCATCATTACTAAATAAAAAAAAATTACGTTGTTCTTGCACAATAACACTACTTTAAATCTAACGTTTCTCTACACATCATCATTGCCATTAATTGATTCGACTTATCATGGAAAGTAATGAAGGTTCTGTATGTCCGCTATGTCGTCATGATAAAATAAAAATTTATGCTGTTGGTGAATGTTCTCATCCTGTATGTCATTTATGTTCAACAAAAATGCGTATTCTTTGTGAACAAACATATTGTGCCATTTGTCGACAAGAACTTCCTCAAGTATGTCTATTATTAAACTAATTAACCTAGATATATATTTTCGAAAAAAGTCATTGCATATTGCTGTTTATTCGAATAGTATTTTAAATCTTTTCGTTGAAAAATAATTTGCACTGAAAAATGAAATGTAACAGATAATCATAAATAAATAAATAAATAAGTAAATAAATATGTTTTGATTATTTGTTATTTATAGGTATATTTTGTTTCGGATCTTGCTATAACTCACCCAACAATTGATCAATCTCGTTTTACACCCATTGATGAAACAGGTGACTGTGGAATTTATTATCCAATAAAAGCCGAATGGATTCGACGCGAAACAGAAAAACTACTACGAAATTTTTGTCCATTTTGTTACTCTGAATACGAAACATTTGACATACTACGTGATCATGTACGACGTACTCATCGTTATTTTTATTGTGATTTATGTGTTGAAAATTTAAATTTATTTCCACACGAAAGAAAATGTTATACACGTCATGATCTTGTTCAACATATACGATGTGGTGATCGTGATGATACTTCATTTAAAGGTCACCCATTATGTCGATTTTGTGATGATCATTTTCTTGATGTTGATCAATTATATAAACATATGAGAAAAGAACATTATTATTGTCATTTATGTACAGATGACAATGTTTATTATAGGTTAGTTTTTACTTAATACAAAAAGAAAATATTTTTGGATTCTTTTATCTTCTTCTTAGTGATTTTGATTTACTTCGTGATCATTATCGTTCAAGTCATTATTTTTGTGAAATTGGTCAATGTAAAGACGTACAATTTACAAATGTATTTTCTTCTGAAATTGACTTTCGTGCACATCAAGCAACACAACATAGTAAAAATCGAGCTGAGGCAAGACAACTAGGTACTATTCCAGTAGAATTTCAATTGACAGGTATGCGTGATCGAAAACAACAACGTGACCCAGCTCATAGAGGTAATTTCACGTTTCTTCTAATTATATTTTCACGAGTTATACATATTTATTTACTTTCTATTTGTTAGGAACATTCAAAAGTGGTGAATTTAAGACACAAGGGAATAATAACTCGTCAAGGAATGAACGGTAAATTTTCTGTTTTAACTGATGAATTTTCAAAAACTGTGTTTACTGAATATAGACAGAAGCAAACAGCAGACTTCAAAAGATACTTTAATAAAGAAAAGAAGGAAGAGCAGCTTTGCCTTTCAGATACCTTACGTTATGGGGCGCTTTCTAGTGAGAGATTTAGTAACGCCATATTTTCCCTACAGCTAATACTAGTTGTAGCTCTGGACAGAAGGCTAGCCTGACATACAGTTCTTGTGCTCAATCGCTTCAGTTCTCCATACATACCAACTAATCATAAGAGTAGGTGTATGTCACAATGTAGTCAGTATGCTTTCAGATAGGTGATCCGAGATAAACAGTTCTTAGTAACTTTTTCGGCATTATTCTATGACTGATAATACCAAGATTCGAATACATTACTTAGTGAATACATATCACACAACATAGTCCCTCAACCATCGCGTCAAGACCTTAAGAGACGTCAAACACAGGAACTTCTTGAGATTTCATAGATCTTCTAAACTGAAATCTCTGGTGTTTCCTCTTTGGATAATTGATATTTCGTTTGTCGACGTATTAATAAAACATTAATTAATTTTCCATTTTGAACTATGTCATTATCTTTCAGTGATGATATTCAACAAGAACCAGCTGTTGCTGTGGCAGTACCTTCTATTGATGAATTTCCAACTTTAGGTGAACGTTCCTCAACTCCACAAAATGTTTCACAACATCGTGGTGCTTGGTTGACTGATTCATTTAGACGAATACATTCATCGGATGATTTTCCTACACTTGCTAGTGCAGCTAATAATGTGTCAAATATGAATGTTAGTCAAACTAAAGGAATTTGGCGAGAACAACAACAAATAATGTCATCATCATCTACAAATCTGAATGTCACATCAAAGAAAGCACCTCAACCAGTAAAACCACTAACCAATGGAACACCTTCAGTAAATCTGAAAGAAGATTTTCCAGCATTAAAAGGAGCTAGCAATGCAAAAATACCTGCACCTGTATCGATGTTTTCAGCTTGGTCAACTGCTAAAAAATCAGCAAAAAATGCGAATGGTAAATCGAAAAAGATCCTTTTCCTTACGATAAAAAAATTTTCTCTGGGCCTAATATCAATATTCGTTTTCTTTTTCTAGCAAATGCAAAAGCAAATCAACCACAAATGCGTTTAAATACTAATCGTTTAATTAATGATGATGAGAATGATGAATATATCAGACGACCTATGGCTTCTTTAACTACCAGTACAACACCTATTGCTTCATCAAATATAAAAATGATATCATCTTCTGACTTACCTAGTACTCAGACTAATGAAAAACAGAATAAAAATAAAAAACAATCTCTTCCAAATTCCCAAGATTTTCCAGCTTTACCATCAACAACTACAACACAAAATAATGGTAAGATTAATTTATGGTTGTCATAGACTAGTGTCAAAATATTTTTTTTTTAATAGTTGTATCTTCTAACGTTTGGGTAACTGATGGTACGAACCCATCAACGAAATTATCCACAAAACAACAGAAAAAAAAGAGTGCTGCCTTGAGTAAGAAAAAATTTATGGAAGAAGTTCAAGCAATGCCACCTCCACTATCATTGTCCTCCACCAATGACTTTCCAACTATTGGTTTAAGTCAACTTGGTCAACGTTTAATAACTGACGAAAATCAACCAACTTTAACAGCACAAACAAAGGAAGAGAAACCTCCATTACCACTACCACCATCATCGACGACATCATCATCATCAATAAAACAAGAAAAAAAAGATGAAAATAAATCAACAGTTCAATCCAATAAGATAGTACGCATTATAGACAATCGAAACTTTGTTCAACTAACGAGAGAGCATTCCCAAATATCAACTTTCTTTTCAGCTGATATTTTACCGATAAGTAGACCTTGGTGAGCTATGAAAAGCCTCCGAAGAGTTTGTGCCCGTTGGCATTGTTTGCCGCGTCTTGAATTGCTAGAATATTTTCCATACGTGTGAAAGTAATGGTAAACGCGTTTTAGTCACTATTAAAAGGTAGAAGAATGTATATCTTTTTGAGAATGAGCTTAATGATAACTACATTTTACTAGATTTTCCAATGTAGCAACCTTAATAAGTTCGCAGACGATAAATCTCGAAGTTTCTGAGAATTTCATCATGGTTTTCTCACAAAATACAAGTATTTATCGTACTTGTAATAGTGTACATTCAACTTCACATGAATTACATGAAGATGAATAGTTTATCTTCTAATGGAAACGGTGTTGAAGGAACAACGTTGGAAGTTCTAATACATTCTAGTTATCATTAAATTTCCTCTTAAAAGGCTTTACAATCCTCTACATTTTAATAGTCATCAAAAAGTATTTGTCATTGTTTTCGTGTGCATGAAATATATTTAAACAATTCAAAACCTGCCAAAAATCATCTATAAACAAAATCATCTCTTAGACTTTGCATAGCTTGCCAAGGCCCACTTATGGGTAAAATATCAGCTAAAAAGCACATAGACACTTGAGATTTTCCTTCATACGTTTCTCTCAACTGTGTTGTATAATTGTACAGGTGTCTCTAAAATTTTCTTCTTTTAGGCACCAAAAGCAACGAAGAAAAATGATTCAATTAAACAAGAGGTATGAACAATCTTTCAATTTATCTTAAAAAAATAAACATATTTCCATTTGAGACCTCATCTGTGAAAGACGAAACTCCAACACAACCAGTAATTAATAAAGTATTTCTATTCAATCCAATCTTTCACATATCTTATTCGTATCTTTATCAATAGGCATCATCACAACCTTTAATACAAGATGAATCTGTTTCTCAAGTAGCACCACCTCCAACATCTGTACGTTCATATATGTTCATAAAAATAAATTGCAACTTATTGTTTTCTTATAGTCTATTCAATCTCCACCTACTTTTGCTACATCGGTTGTTGTTCCTCCGCCACCCGGTTTTACAACACCACTTGTTATTCCTCCACCACCAGGCTTTAATGCAATTTCATCATCCCAATCCGCTGCACCTTCCTATATTTTCACTTCATCTCATCCAAGACAAAAAGATGAATTTCGTACTAAGCTTTTCAATCTATTCGACAGTGATATGAATTTATTTAATGAATATGATAAATTCTGTGAAGCATTTTCTCAAAATAAAATAACATCACAAGATTTTATGACATATACAACACAATTATTTAAAGGTAAAATTGATGAATATTTACCTGAATTAATTGTTATTATGCCAAATATTGAGCAACAAAATGAACTTTATTCAAATTGGAAAAAAAATATTCAATCAACATCATCTTCAACAGCTGCAGCAACACAAAATAAAACAACTTGGACAAAGAAAAATTCTGATGAAAAAAATATTCATATATGTCGTATTTGTCGACAGATCATGTTTGAATCTGATGTTGATGAACATAATTCTTATCATACAGAATTCAACACACAGTTTCCTTCATTACCAATAGCTTCTGTTCCGATCGGTCGAGGAAGAGGAAAGACAAAGAAATGATTAAATCAGACTTTATTATCTTATTAAAAGAAATTGTTTATTTCAAACAACAAAAACATTATAATGACGCTGTTTTTTTTTTGTTGTTTATTGTTATGCCATTGATAGGCTAATTTCAGTATATTAAACAAAGAGAAAATAACACATTTTTATTCTTATGATTAACCTATATGTGCAATTGGTGATGATAAATAATTGCAATAGGTATTGCTATAAAAAGAAGAAATAAATTAAAATAAGTAAAGAATTATTACTAACACTGATGTTCTACTGTGAAACAAAATTTTGAATTTTTCTCTTGTTAGAAAAGATCTTATTGGACAATATCTAATGAATATTTCTGGATAAAATGTTTTCATAATTTATTCGACATTTTTGTTGTCTAGATGACAATTAATATTCAATAATGAACTGGTATGGTACTCGTGATATCAGAGATGCTTGTTTGGCAATCATGTATTTTTATGAACAATATTGCCTTCGTATAAGTACACTTATCAGCAGTTGAATATAACAGTTTTAAAAATTTCATAACTATATTTTTCCATAATTAAATTTCAAAAACAGTTTATTATCTTTTAAAACTAGTTTGTCCGATGTCATTACGAAAAAAATGACATTGCTATTAATAAATCGAAAATTATCAATGATCACTACTTTTAAAAAATGCTAAGTTTTTTTTTATCTCTAGTGTTCTATAAGATGGCAGAATAATGTGTTGCACAAGTCTTTACTGAATGATGACTAAATAAATAAAAATTATAATACAAAATGGAAGATACATTGCACTACAATAAAATAAAATGAAATATTCCCACGTTTGTTTAATCAAATGGACTGATTTGTTGATTAATGGTACACATTTATTTAATGCTTTTTTTTTGTCCTATAGATGAGACAATTAGTGTAATATCATTATGTATTATTGTTGCTATCATGAAAGCAATTTTACCTATTATTAAGTAAGAAAAATGTAACTGTAGAGTGTCCCAAATAATTTTCAGTTTTCATCTCAGCGAAGAAATCAAAACAAACTTGATGAATGATATTATATTGATACATAAAAGATTTTCCATAACTTCCGAGCCTCAATGAATATTAGCTTAGATATAAACAAAGAATAATTCCTACTCAACTACATGTAAATGAGTTTCAACTACTTAGGACAATGTATTATATGGCATATTATCCGATGACATTATCTGTCCCAATAATAGTGATATAAACATAAGCAATGTGATAATTAGAATGTTGGCACAAAAGCGTGGCCACATTCACGCCAAAGATAATGTGTGTCGCTTTGTATAACTTTGTTACCTTACATACGATGAATCTCTAGTTCATTAAAACTTTTTAAAAACATACTAGTCGATTTCGAGGTTTTAATTATCACTCTTCTTCTGTTGACATCACTGTGATTACAAGAGATAATGTCATCGAATAATATACTATTTAAAGCATCGCATTAACTATTCAATGTCCATATACTTATGGTTGAGTTAGGATTACCCTTTGTTTATATATAAACTTATTTTTGTCGAGGTCTTGAACTTATGAGGATATTTTTCAGCATTCTATAATTAGTTAGCAGTCAATGATATTAAAATTTCGATTTTTCAAAAAGAAAATCTTCATTTTTGTAAGAAAGTTGGTGCCTACAGAACTACAATAGTATGTTTTACTTATGAGAAACGAATTTCAACAAATAAACCATCTAGTTTTGAAAACTTTCTTTGTGTGTATCAATATAGTTTGTTTTAATTTCTTTCTTACCATTCTCCTGGATGATAACTGAAAACTATCTATGAAATGCCTCAAATGTATTTTTCTTACGTGACAATGGATGAAATTTCTTGAGCGACGCCAAAAATAAAGCTTAATAGTAGTATTTATTTACCTTATCTGTATGAGAAAAAAAAACAAACAAACAAACCTATAATAAATTTTTACTACTAAGTAAAAACTCAGTGCATTCGAGCGAACCGAAGCGAAGCTACTTCAATTTTGTATTGTAGTGCTATTTCTAGCTCATTCTTTATTAATTTTAAGAAAACAAAATTGTTCTTCTATGTGACTACATGATAGTTATGTTAGTGTAGATAATCAAATCTATCGAACGATCATTTCCGCTAGATGTAATAGTGTTGGCAGATATATAGAAGCATCGAATAGGAATGTGTTGTTTACCAACAATAGATTTATGATAAAAATCAACTTTTATTTCTCTTATAAGATGTTGTAATGGAGCATAATTAATTCCATATTGTGCTAATTGATATTCTTAAATTACAATACTCGATAGATGTATACGTAGTTTATGATGATATTCATCTTTCCAAATGCAACAACTGAAATAATAAATATATCTGATAAATCAGTTTTGACGTAACATATATTCTAAAATGCTTGGTAATTAGGACAAATGATCATCATATGTACGGTTAGATGAAACAAAATTGATTTAATTGTATTTCTGAATAGACTCTATTGTAAGAATAAAACAATTCCTTAAGCAATACTGAAACTCTAATCTTTCCTTCAGAGTTCTACAAATGTAAAGAAATCAATCAAAATATTTGGAATTTTCAAAGAAATAATGAATCTATTAGTTTCGAACAACCCTTGTTGTCTTGCTTATCGTATAACAATTAAATCAGATGCTGAATGATGACGAATAAGAAACAAATTATCTATTTGACTGTATTGTGCCATATAAGTTTAGTAGGACTCTATTAATTTTAAAATAAAATTTTCATATATAATTAGATATCATAATTTGTTTTATAAATGATAGAACTGATTCTATTACATTTTTAGTAATAAGAGATGATAGATATGTATTCACTACATCTTGAAGTTTTCAGCATTTTTATACTCGGTAATCCTCTAAATTAATACTTATGTTGGAATTTGAAGCCACTATAAGCGGAATAGACTCATTTAGCTTGATAGAAAAATTGATGTCATTGTTTTGTTCTCTCTCCATCGTGTTTATTAAAAGTAGTATGTAGTGAAATTACTTTATAACAATTATTATCGGATTTGTCTTTCTTCGTTTTAAGTTGATTAAAAGCCATGAATTGCATTTCTATACAATTTTAGCTTATTGTCTACTATACTCATCATGTGTTTGTTCTTCAAAGCCTTGTTTTATTGTTGTTATAGTTATTTGCTACGGATGAACAACAAATTCGACTATTGAAATCAATAAAAAAAAAGCTATTCCCAAAACGTGCTCGAACACAATGGTAACATGCAAAAATTCACACAATTACATATTTCAGTAATGAAGACCTTGTTACATTCTTTTCTTATTAAACGATATAAATGCAAATAAATACAAGAATTCGTCTCACATTTCATCTGAAAAAACGCAGATGTTGACAACTAGTTGTCAAAGAATGTTGACAAATTCGAGTTAGATGTAATTTAAAACCGCTTATGGAAACCAAAGCATTGTTGTAAATAGAAAAAAATTGAAGAGAAATATTAAGAAAAGAATAGATGCTCATCAGTGTCATCATCATCATTCAAATAAATATCAGATATACTTGGCAGCTGTTACTTGCTATCGAACTAGTACTGTTTATGTATGAGAAAATAAGATGAAAGAAAGAAAACAATCGTCTAAGCTTCTAATTGATCATCGTCATCCATACTTTGTCTGTATGTACAATGGACTATTTTGTTTGTCATTCGTATTAAAATCAACATATTGTCTTCATTTATCTAAGATATTGACGGATGTTCTGTGAAGCATGCAAGCAAAGATAGTTAATTAAGTTGCAAGACTCTTGCTTTGAGCATTCGATTATCATCAATGTGCTAGAAGAATCCCATTCCGCACGATGGATTTCCATCCCTATCTCATACTCAAATACGTGAGATTCAACATGCGTAATGATGATGATAATGTATATTTTTCACATGTTCCTCCTTTCATCACTTTCCATTTCATAGCACTAAAAACATGATCACATATTCTCCTGTTTTCTGTAGCTCAAATTGCCAAGTGTATATGTCGAGTCCTTTTCATTATCGACATGGCAAAAAACACATTCATCGATATATGAGAAAAAAAGAAACATACATTTAATATATATATACCTGCAGGTGAGATGTGCCAAATATAAAATGACACATGAATCTTTCATTATCATTGATAAAAAATAGCATAGACATGCAAATAATTGAAAACATGAATAGAAGTCATAACAAAAAACAATAACCTTAAAAAGAAGAACGCTATTGTTAGTTGTTTTTTAAAGAGTTTCCGAATTATCAGGTAAGTGGTGCTTGTCAATAACAGATTAAAACACTTTTCTCATTAATAACAATCTTCTTCAATGACTTATTAGATAAGAAAAGAAAATGAGATTCTTGAATGTCAATTTATTTCTTCTTGTTTTATGTATTCATTTTGTCATCCAACTAATGTTTACGCAAAAAAGAAATCTTCTATCTTGGTTTGAGTCAACAATGTTGTACATCATTGAATAGAATAGTTAGTAAGGGTAGTACTAGTAGTTATTGACCCTAATCGTTTTCTGTGTCGTTTATGAACACAAGCGGCAGAACGTTTTCACATGATTAGACTAAATCGATTACATGGAGTATGTATGTGAGTATGTGCAAAGATATATTTTTTTTCTTACTCTGTAGTCTAGAAAGGATGGCAAGATAGAAGCAGAAGCGAGAAGAAGCAAAGAAAAATACGGAAAAGAGAGGAATAAGAGAAGACAACAATATAGTTTGGTAAAAAAGGAGGAGAACTACTATCTTTTTTTCGATTGATATAATATTTTCTTCTAATGTCTCTTGTTATTGTTGTTGTTGTTGTTGTTATGATGAGAAATACGATAGTAACACTATGCAATCGTAAATTAAATGATATACTTCAATGACTTTGCATGTCTACAGATTTGTCGCTCGGAATTTCTTTCAGACACCATTTTCCTCAATCATCATTTTTTCTTATCTAAGTACTCTATTATCGAGTGCTGTTAGTCTTTTTTTTTTCATTCACGAAACTAATCTCACTTGATTTTCAATTAATAATCTCCTGTGTTCTTCTCACATGTAGATATGTGTACACACACATACACAGTCGGAATTCATTTTCTTTTCTTCTAAACCTATGCTCTGCCCTATCGATAAAAGCAATCAATCAGCTGGGCTTTCTCCTTTTTTTCTTCTCTTTCCGATTCATTCCACATGTGGTATGTAAAACAGGAAAGAGCAAGTTCTCCGTAGGTGACAATACTTTCATTGAAGTTTTCCGGTCTTGACGTGAGCATAAACATCATTTTTATATTTTTTAAGAAATAAATAATTTCTTTCCCCATGTAATTACAAGAAGAAAAGAAAAATCTTTTTTGTTGTTAGTTATTCTTTTCTTCATATTATTTTTGTTCGTTCGAACATAAATTCATCATCATAAATAGGTAGACTTTCTTTTCTAGACATGTGCATCAATAATCATTAATATGCTAGTTGTCTTTATTATTTCTGCATGATGAAGTCACTTGAGTTAGAGGGTGCGCTTAAATTGTCTTCCTTTTGGTCAATCATAAATAAATGAGAAATCCAAATAGATATATATATATATATATACAAAGAAAATTGTGATGTCTACATAAAATTGTTGCATTATCAGTGTTTGTTTTAGATCAAAGAAAAGAAAAAGAAAGTAAAAGTACACTAACGACAACCAGTTTGAATTCCAGTGACTCTTAAGTTTAGTTTCTATTGGTAACGGACGCTAAATTAGTTTCCTTTTTTTAAAGGGTAAGTATCGTTTGTGTATTGTAATAAAGCATGTGTGAGTAACTCGGCGAGCTCGATTCAATAGTAACTGTAATAGTAACAAAGACAGAAATGTTAAAAAGAAAGATTTGTCGCTTCTTCGTTCTTATTCCGCTGTCGACGGTGAGGAAAATTGTTTGAACATCCTTATTCAATCATTAACATCATCATCATCGTTCTTGTCGTTATTGCCCGATAGAGTGAATCGTTCGATCTGTAAAAAACGTTTTATATTTGTTGACTCTTTTCTTTTCTTTCTTATTTAACTGCTGTGATTGTTCTCATATATATATATATCTTCACACATATTATAGATTTCTTTTCATCATATAAGTAGGATATGAGAGAAAAAAGGTGACAAAATATTTGATACACAAGCAAAGAAAATATGTTGACGACATTGTGTTGACGACAGTTGTTGAAAGTCATCTGCAGTGATACTAATAGGAAAGATGCCTATCTAAATTACTAAAGAATATATAAATAAATAGTGAGAAAACCAAATAAAGATAATTTAATGTCATTCTTTTTCAGGTTCAAATGATCATTTCACATGGTGGCCGATGACGAAATCATTGATCATTCTGTTTACTGTTTCAATATTTATTTTTATCTTTTTATCATCATCAACAAATTCAGCATCATCCACTATTGGTCAAAAGAAAGTCCTAAGATCTTTCCCTTCTTCTCTACCATCCATAAGAAAACCGAATGTAACTATTCTTATGATGTTTCCCGATATCGATCGATTCATACCAAATTTAAAATCATTGCTTGTTGTTTATGAATATATTGTTCATCGTTATCAAATATCAAAATGGCTTAATATTAATTTGCAAGTTAAAGATTCTTCTTGTTCGATATCATTAGCTCCTCATATGCTTGTTACAACAATGCTTTCAACTATTCCTGATGTTGTTTTTGGACCTTTTTGTGGTAAATATTATTATATTTGATGTTTTATTTATTGTTTGCTCTCATTGATTTTTATTTACATTTTGTAGATCTTGCAGTAGCACCTGTAGCTCGTCTTCTTCATTTTCAAAATATTCCTCTTGTTACAATGGGTGCCGCTTCTAATGAATTTACCTTACAAAGACAAAAAATGTATTCAACATTATTTCGATTTGGATATCGAACAGATGAACTCGGTAAGCCAATTTCCGATTATAAATGTTCATAAAACGAATAAAAACATAATTTCCGTACTGAGTATTTCCTTCCTAATTTTATGTTTTCATTGTATCTAGATAGAATAAGAAACTAATGTGTATATGATATGATCAACTCTTCTTGTGCTTTTTTTATTTTTTTCATCTCTCTAAAAACACCAAAGAATAGAGAAACAAGAAGAATCTCTGCTGAGTTGTTTTTTGTTATAAATTACACTGTCATAAACAATCATTAGATAATTATCAAATCATGATCTTTTGTCATAGTAGACAATAATATTTTATTCCTTTGAGTATTGAAAATAAGGAATTAGTTCGTCTTTCTACTTAGACAGTAACAAATATATAGATAAAAGAACGCAAATGAAACATAGAATCGAGTTGTCATCTGTTCGTATTCTCAGACATTTTTTCTTCGACTAAGAAAAAAAAAAGTATCGATAAAAAACAGAAGAAAGAAAGAAAACTAAGTAAATTATCAAGGTTAATCTTAAGGAATAAATCAATAAACATTCAATTTTGATGGTAAATCGAAAAAATACTGCTTGAAATCAAATAAATTTTTTTTATCTCAATAAAAGTAAGAAGAAGAACAAAAAGAGAGATTCATTACTCATAATATTAAACGACTTTTACAAATGCAACTTATGACATTTCCATGTAGTTGACATTCGTCATTCGGAAAGAAAATGTCTATCTGCTATTGACTCTTCAGATAAAAATAGAAAATTTCTTTCTTAATTATTGCAATTAAATCGTCATTCTACGACTGTCGTTTGATTTAGTAGTTAATCGTTTTTTTGCTATTTACTCGTACTTTATATTAAGGAAACTATGAAATCTTTCAACAGTTTTATTTTCATAAGATAGTAATAACTATTCATAATATATATCTCGGATCCGAAAAGGCAACTTCCTTTGCTTTTTTTCTATGAGCTAATTTTATGGAATCTAGTCGACTAACCAATAGTATTGTATGAGTCTAATTTAATGGAAAATTACTGCAAAGGAAACTATTAGACGACGACGACAAGTCAATGTGATTAGAAATGGGATGCATCCGGATGTAACAAGAGAATCGCAACGGCGGCATTACATACAAACGTATTCAACTAATTTTCAACAAGAATTAAGATAATCGATAAAATCATTCATTCAAGTGTTCTTTTTCTTCGACAAAAAAAATTGACTTCTAGTCACATATTTATTCAAAAAACAAGCTGTTGAAAACCTTTTAATAGATTTAATATTCATTCAAAATCAATAATAGAAAACTCAGAATTTCAGATAATAAACAAAGAAGAAAAAAAGAATCTATTATCTCATAAATCAACTATAGAACAAATAAATAATGATTAGATCGAATACTTCCCATTCTCTAGAGAAACATTATTGCTAACTTTTTTTTCTCGATTTGATAGGATTTTATTTTGTAGCATGAAGCCTATTGAGAATAAAAGAATGATAAAACTAATATCGTCATTCAGTTTCATTCAAAATCGACATGAATTAATAAGCTTTTCAATATTGATTAAAAATAGACAGCTACTAATGACTCAAATAAGAAAAAAAAAAAGACCAACTCATTTTTTTTTTACTTAGAAACACAATTGGAAACAAACTGAGTAACCTCCTCGATTCAGCTCAAAGCTATATTAGAAATATGTTCTTTGTTTTTGATTAATTTCATCATAGACCTGTAGAATACGTAATAAACGCAACAGAATAGTTCAGATGATGAATTACTCTTAGAAAAATGGATCATTGAAATAGTAATTACTAAAGTCATTATTTTCCTTATAAATAACTTATGAAGAAAGTCTGTCAATTGATTAATTGCTTTTTAGTCGAGACTATGTGCATCATATTGGTCATAATTTATTATGAAGTTCTTGAAAAGAGTTTAGACTCTTTTAACATATTGCTTTCAAAATACTGTATTTTGACGATATTTTCTCTATCATGCTGTGATCTCTCTCATAGATACTACGAAACATAATTTTCGAATATTCGATTCAAAACTTTGCATAGAGATAAAAATCTTCTGAGAATAGTTTATTATTAAAATTTCAGAACATTTCGTTGTTTCTATCCTTGGCTATATTTATGATAAAAATGTGTCGTTAAATGTACACTGATAAATTCAATGTTCTCATTTCAGGATAAGAATAAATAAAAAAACTTGAAGTTTTTACAATAAACTATTCACATAAAGGTCTGTCTCTAGAAAAAGTTGCAAATTCAAATTCGAAAATCATCTTTCCTGAACTACTAAGGGAAATTACACTATTTTATATAAAAAAAATATCGTAAAAATGCGTTATCTCGGTAACAACCAACTAAAAGTTCGAATTCTTTTTCAAGAAATTCGTAGTTCATTAGAGCATACATCATGCATTTAATCTCAACACACAGACGATTGTTCAATCGAGAAATTTCTCTCATTAGACATAAATACAAAAAAGCAAAGATTTCAAATTTTCTTAAAAGAATTGAAAAATCATTAAACGAGTCATTGACATCAAACTCTTTCATTATATAAATATTTTCTTGACAAATTTCCACATTTGCTTTTTGTTGATACAATTCTTCTTTGATTTATACCAAAGGCCTCAACATCTGGCTAATATAGTTAATAAACCTTTTTAATTGCAATATTAACAAATCTTTACAGTCATGTAAATGATTTTATACTATATTTTCCAAAACGTAAACAAGTCTTAATGACTAATTTTACATCAAAGAAATGTTATTTAATTTTTTTGTTTTCAGGCTCATTATTTGTCAAACTCTTACAATATTATAAATGGTCATTTGTAAAAGTTCTCTACGAAGATAATCCAAAACCTTGGCATGAATGTCAAGTTCTTTTACGACCAATTGCACATACATTTACATCGAATCAAATTCGTTCGGATAATCGAAAAATTACAAGTCATGATGTGGATGATAATTTTAAATCAATTTTTATTGATTTTATTAGTAATAATGCGTCAGGTAGAAATCTTTTCTTTATTTTTTATTTAAAATATTTCATTATTTTTTTTTTTAATTTTTATACAAATAAGTGTCTTTGTGGTGTGTTAGTCCACAAACGTTTCGTTCTGCTGTATTAACAGCTAATAAACTTGGTTTTGTTAATGGAGAATATGTTTTTATTTATCTTGATACAGTTTTAACACAAGAAAAGTATATTCATAAGATGACTGTGTTTTGTTTATTTTGAGTCTCTATATGACATACTCTTTTTTTGTTTCTTTCTAGTACTGATGAAAAAAGTTTAGCTGTTAGGCAACCATGGTTTAATCCAAATGAAACAAACAGTGAAGTTAATGCAAATGCACGTCGTGCTTTTGAAACTGTATTATTTGTTCGACAACGTCTTTATACTGGCGAACGATTTCGTCGATTTGCTGCTGATGTAGTTGATTTTGCGCGTCAAACAAATCGAACGAAACAATTGACTCATGAATCAGTACGTATTCTAGACTTGATTTTCTTTTCTTATTTGATAGATAAAAATAATATTGATAGTTAATAAATTTCTTCTTGCATAGAATTCGTCCATCAGAGTGAGTAGGTGGTTGGTTTTATTTTTTTTTATTGCTCCCGTTTTTTTTTCCTTGAAAGCATGCTTCGTTCTCTGCATGATAAACTAAGTTCTACTGATTTCTTTTTTACAAAACAAAAATTAACGATAATGATCATTTTGGTTTACTGTTGCAGAAAATAACATTGATTCAACTTCTCATATGTATGTTCGATTTAGATTGGTACCGATGAAACAAACTTCTACGATGCCGTTGTAACATATTTTAAAGCATTGGAAACATATTATTCAGATCATTATTTTCAAAAAATGACAAACAGTGATGAAACAATAATTTATCCATCCTTAAACGCACCTACATTTAAAACAATGATATGTAATCGCTCATTTGAAGGCACAAATAGAAATATAACAATGAATCAAATTTGTGATCGAATTGATATTGGTTATGCTGTTTACGATTTGAATCCAGATAATGGCGAATTAGAGGTATACATTCTGGAAATAATTCTAAAAAATTATGTAGCCGAAGAACAATAAAATCGAATTCTTTGTTGAAATAGGTTATTTTTTCTAATTTCAAAAATTTAATATGCATCGATAACCACGGTTCTGATGCTTTATTTGTACCTAAAGAAAACGTTCATTCAAGAGTAAATACTCTAAATGAGGAAATGCTGCAAGACTTTTATATACTTATAAGCATACACAAAAAAATGTTCTGCGATAGGAATATGCAATCTTGTCTTAACCTAACATTGGCATAATGATTGTAAGAGATAAACTTGAGAAAATTATATTTCTTGCACAACAAAAAAACACTTGTAAACGAACGAAGATTATTTTACTATTTACACGCGTAATTACATCTCAATTGAATTATAATCAAATATTTAAACGTATAATTTTATTTATTAATGCGATGAAAATTGATTACAGTTTATTAACAATTCGTATAAATATCGATTTTCTCTATTAAACTCCTTAAATATCATTAAAAAAAAAATTCATTACTGATTTCTCTTTTTCTTTAGGCTGTTGTTGCTTATCCAGCAGAACCATTTTCAATTGAAAATACACAATTACAATGGTTAAATGAATCACGTCTTATTTATTTTATTGACAAAAATTCATCATTCATTCCTGATACTCCACGATGTGGCTTTAATAATATAAAATGTCCTAAAAAAAGTCTGTTCAAATAAAAATTCAATTATATCACAGGTTTTTTTTATCGTTATTTCCTATTCTAGCTCTCATTCCGATATGGGGTTGGATTATTATAAGTCTTTCAGCAATTATTGTTCTTCTTCTCATTGTCGGTTTTATTTTATATCGGTAAGAAAAGAAAAATTTCTTTCGTCTGTTTTTATTTCTTTAATGAATCTTAATTCAAGACGAGCAAAATTTGAAGCTGAATTAAAAGCAATGCAATGGATAATTAAATGGGAAGACTTAACAACACGAACACTATTACATAATGGTGTTGCTACACCATCATTCAATAAATTATCTAGTTCAATGAAAGTAATTTTTTTCAAAAAAAAAAAAAAAAAACATCAGCTAAATTATATTTTTATTATCTTATTTTCCAATAATTGTCAGGATTTTTCAGAACAGAAGTCAGTGAGTATGTGAGCATTTTCATGAACTTGTTCATTCGAAAAGTTCTCTCTCTCAATTTTTTTACTTTATTTGGTCTGCACGAGTTTTTATCACTGGCTTTTTTTTCGCTCTTCGAAATGATTGTAGAGATTGATTATTCTCTATTACAATCATTTCTTCGTTGTATTAAACATCAACACGTCTTTATATGTACATATGAGTGAACATTGTTCTTTTATTTTTACTTTACACAGTACTTTGCGTATATTTATTATTATTATTTTTTTCTGCATGTTAGTCGTGCTCGATTGTTGCGTTTTTTTTTTTTCTTTTTAATTTGATATGAAGACTAACTTTGCTTTTGTTTTTTTTTTTATTTATTTATTTTTAGCGTAGTTCTGTTTCAAGTTATCGTTCAGCTGATAGTGAATCATGTGGACCATCGAAACAAACATTTACAAAAACAGCTGTTTACAAAGTAAAAATTATTATGATTATTCTATTTTAAAAAAAAGTTTCTTTTATTTGGTCTTTAGTCATCAGTTGTTGCTCTTAAACGATTTCATAAAGGAAAACTTGAAACAACACGTGCACTTCAATTAGAAGTTAAAGCAGTTGAGTAGAAAAATTATTTTTATTTTTATTAAAAAGATTCATTTATGAATATTATAGATGCAAGATCTTACACACGATCATATAGCTCGTTTTATTGGTATATGTATTGATCCAAAACATCAATATATAGTAACAGAATATTGTCCAAAAGGCAGTTTACAGGTTTAATATTTTCGTAATTATCTTTATTTTTATTTGTCTTTTTTATATTATTTTAATAAGGATATTCTTGAAAATGACGAAATAAAACTTGATACAATGTTTAAACATTCCATCATGCATGATATTGTTAAAGTATTTAATTGTTTTTAAATTAATATTAAAAGAATAAAATATTTTCATCTAGGGTATGCAACATATACATAATAGTCAAATTGGATCACATGGAAATTTAAAAAGTTCAAATTGTGTTGTCGATAGTCGATTTATTTGTAAAATAACTGATTTTGGTTTACCAACATTACGATCAAATACAAATAAAGATGCATTGCCAGGTGTTGATAGAGATTATACATATTATAGAAGTATGATTATTTAAAAAAAAAAACAAAAACTTTTTTGTAAGAAAATTTTTCTTTATATATATATTTTAGATCGATTATGGACAGCACCAGAATTATTACGAGACCCAAATCCACCGGCTGCGGGTACAGCTAAAGGTGATGTGTATAGTTTTGGTATTATTTTACAAGAAATTGAATTACGTAATGGACCTTTTTATTTACGAGATCAAGAATTAGAACCAGCTGGTAAAATTATTTTAATATAAATAAAATTATTTGAAATCGTTTTTTTTTTCTTTTCCATAGCCATTGTTGAAAGTGTGAAATCAGGCAGTTTACTCCGGCCATCAATTGAAGCGGGTGAATGTAATATTGAAATAGGACATTTAATGAAACGTTGTTGGAATGAAGATCCAAATGAAAGACCAGATTTTACTGATATTCGACAAGTTATGCGTCGAATAAATAAGTAAATATGAAAATTTCTATATTAAAAAAAACTTAATTCTTTTTTTTTCTCTTTTTTCAGAGATGGAGAAAGTGGAAATATTCTTGATAATTTACTTAAACGTATGGAACAGTATGCAAACAATCTTGAAGTTAGTTTACAATTAATTTTCATTAGAATGAATTAAAAATTCAAATTTTTTCTTTCTCAAGGGTCTTGTTGAAGAACGTACAAGTGATTATTTAGCTGAAAAAAAGAAAGCTGAAGAATTACTTTATCAATTATTACCTGCGTATGTATTTAAACATTTGATAAAAATTTTTTTTCTTATCAATAGTTTTTCTCATAGAAAATTTTATTATTTTGTGCAGAATTTTTATATGTTACATTCAGTGATAGACAACAGATAAATGACAGAATAAACCATGTATACCGTATAGATATATCTGATTACTTCAAATCAGTGGCGAAACCAGCGGGAAGCAGAGGAGCAGAGAAGACTTGTGAGGAAACCTCTCTAGTTGTCAAACCGCATTTTTATTATTTCATTTCTAAAGATGTAAGTATATGAACAATATTTGCTTTTACACATAGAAAAATTTCGAATGTTCAATGTGTTAGGATAAGAAATACTAGAAAAGTTACAACTTTCCCTATGAATTAATGTGATTGAAAACTTTGGTTGTGCAAAGTTTGAATTCAAAACTCGAAAGTTGAGTTTTCAGATGAGCTAAAAATAATCATAGCTTTTTATTGAAGAACTTGGTAAAACTTCGGATATCTCAAGAATGAACTTAATTTTACACTATTTTGTTTTCTTCAAGAATACAAATGAGTTCCAAACAATAAGATATAGGTGTTCAAAAGTTTTATTGCAAAAACTAATGGATTTTGTATCAAAAAAGAATAAATCTTTTATAAACCTTGCCATGTGGGAAGGACTGAGTCGTACATCCCCAATATTCTCCCTCCCACACCACTTCACATTTACAGAGATCATTTTTCCATAGTGGTGCCGATCATTATTAATCATTCTAGTTGACATACAACTGACAGTCATATAGAGTTACTTGTTTTTAACAGTTAAAGACAGGCATCATTTATCATTGTATTTCATCTGAGTACTGCATTATATAGTAAACAAATTGAGTAATGAGATGGCTGCTTTTTTTAAAAATAATGCATCTGTCATTGACCGAAAGATCGTGTCATTACTTGTTATGATGATTAACAGAAAAAAGATTTACAAATAAACACATCATTTAATTAGTTTACACGATTTATCGTCTGTTGTTTATGTGAAAGAAGAAAAATGAGCCCATAAATAGTCATTGAGATAATTAATGTACTGTGAGAACAAATTAAAATCTCAATCAACACATCAAGAAAAATAATAAAAAAACAAAGCAAGTTGATCGTTTAATTTTTTTTCATGAAAGTTAAACAAATCTCAGTTCAGCTACTTTCAAAGACACTGGAAAATTAATACGACCTTCATCAGAACGTTGATGCAAATTCATTAAATATTCATCCATTATGATTTTTTCTTTTCTACATTTTGAAGTTGGAATGTGTAGGATTTTGATGTAGAGAAGAACTACACCTACACATACAAAGGAAAATAAACTCTATACAAGAAAAACGCTAATTGAAATAAAATTTTTATATATAATCCATGAAGAGTAAATTGTTCACACGCATTTAATTATTCCTTCAACTCTCGAAGAAGATTTTTTTTCAGAAAGTTTTTAATTTTTCTTTTTTTTTTTTCATTGTAATACTTAACTTCAACAAAATAAATTTTTATAAATATCTTTTCTTTTAATTTTTTATGACACAAGAAATACACTTTTGAAAAAAAAAAAAGATTTGTATTTGAAATATATTTGCATAGATCGGTTGCTTCACAATTAATGGGTGGCCGACCAGTAACAGCTGAATCATTTGAATGTGTTACGATTTATTTTTCTGATATTGTTGGTTTTACAAAGATATCATCTGAAAGTACACCATTACAAGTTGTTGATCTTTTAAATGATCTTTATTCAGTTTTTGATGGTGTTACTGAAAATTATGATGTTTATAAAGTTGAAACAATTGGTGATGCTTATGTAAGATCGTCTTTTTTTCTTTTTCCGTGGAGACAAAAAGAAGAAGAAGAAGAAAAGATTACCTATATTTGTATTAAATAGATGGTCGTTTCTGGTCTACCGACACGTAATGGGGATTTACATGCTCGAGAAATAGCTCGTCTTTCATTAGCTCTTCTCAATGCTGTGCTCAGTTTTCGTATTCGACATCGACCTGATACACAATTATTATTACGCATTGGTATTCATTCTGGTCCATGTGTAGCTGGTGTTGTTGGTCTTAAAATGCCACGATATTGTCTATTTGGTGATACTGTAAGTTGTTTTTTTTCTTGTTTATTAACAATAAATCTAACATTAAATTATTGTTAATTCCAAAAGGTTAATACTGCATCCCGAATGGAATCAAATGGTAAAGCATTACGTATTCATGTATCATCTAGTACAACAGCTATTCTACAGAAATTTGGTACATTTGAACTAAAATTTCGTGGTGATATTGAAATGAAGGTTTGTCTTTTTGGTGTTTGGTCCTTTATTTATTTCATTATGACATCTATTTATTAGGGTAAAGGAAAACAAAGAACATATTGGTTACTAGGCGAACAAGATGGTTTGAGTGCTCGACATAGTTTGGTGAATTGGGATGACGAAACTGTTGATGAGCATTAATCGGTATCTTTTAGTTTTTTTATGCATAGTTTGTGTTTTCTCTTTTTCTGTATCCGAGTTATTGAAATGAATGATAAAAGAAAAAAAATTATGTATGATTATGTTTGTTTTTTTTCGATCTGACGTTTATTTTTTTTTCAAATAGAAATACATATAAATATAAATATACATAATAGAGAATTTAGTATGGTGTCCAATAGTAGAGATTATGTGCAAGAACCGTATCTTTGACGGATTCAAAAACAATTCGAATATTTTTGCTATCTAAATTTCATCCGAATAAATTAATCGGTAAGTAACAAAATAAAATAAATTCTTACCAACGGAGCATGTAAAATGAGGATAGATATTTTTCTCTGTGTATCGTTCACTTTTCGGTACTGAACTTAAATATTTATTCTTAATGAATTCTCGAGCAGCTTCGACATCATCGTCAGCACCTATAAATTACGTTAAAAAAAAAAAGAAAAGAAACAAATATTGAAACAGAATCATAAGCATTCATTTCTATTTTCGTCTCTTAGATTACCATCAAATTCAGGATAGACATATCGAATAGGTTTTCCAGCAAGGCGTTCTGGAAATAGATCAGTTTTGTTAAGAAAAAGAATAATAGACGCATTGAAAAAATAATCTGATGCTAAAATAACACGAAATATCCCTAAACTTTCTTCCATTAAATTCTAAAAAAACAAATTTCTATTATAATTTTAACAAAATTTTCTTGTTAAATATTAGAGACTTGTTCCAGATGATCATCGACTTTTTGATCATATTCAATGAGAGATGCAAGAAAAATGATAGATGTTACATTCTAAATCAAGAGTAAAATACAAATCAATTTAGGATATCTCAGAAAACTTTTACATCAAAACAATGAATCCATTTTCGACGTTCTGTCTTTTGTCCACCCACATCGACAATTCTAATACAAGAGTTTAATAAGTAACAAATATGATTATCAATTGCTATGAAAAATATCTTACCGAAGTCGAACATGAGAAAATTGAAAATCTTCTTGAACAATACCTGTTGTTGGAATACGTACTCGTAATATATCATCATCAGTTGGTGTGAAATTTTGGGCAGATATTCGATCTATATCATCTAAAAAACTAGAAAAAGAAAAAAAAATAATGCTATTAATAATATTATTCAATATCTTCTCGGAATAAGAAATGAATAGACTCAATTATAAAGTAATTATCTTATTCAACTCACTCTTCAAGATCATGTAATTGATGAAGAAGGACAACGTATTTATTTGCTAAACTACTAATGATTTATTCATCAGACTTACTATTTTGCCGAATCAGGCAATCGATATTCTCGTCGTCGACGATAACATGTTTTAACACCCTCATCGGACCAAACATATCGAATAGCTTCAGCCATTCGAGGTGATAATGTTGATATACTATCATCATCATCATCATTCGGTGAACTCAATAAACGAGCATATTCCTATATAAATAAAGTTATGAACTTTTATTTAACTGAATCACAACTCATAATCATACTTCATTTCGTTCATTTTCAAATTTAATTTGAAGAATATGCATTGCTCGACAAATACATCGTACAACATTAACTATTTGTCGATAGATGAATGGAATAAGTCGACGTTTTTCATCTGCTTTAAAACCTTGACCATGAATTAATTTCATTTGTTTGAGAAATGTTGATCTAATAAGAAAAAAATTAATAGACATTCTAATTACAATCATATGCAAATTTACTTTCCAGCTTCAGCGTTTCCTGAAAATCAATGATTTAAAAAAAAAAAATTTATTATTTACATAATTGTTACATAGTATTAATACTTACCCAAGAGGAGTAATTTTCTCTCATGTAAATTTTCTCGACGCCATTGTTTAAGTTGTTCATTAACACCTTTATTAATAATTTCATCGGTAGTTAGACAACAGTCACATACATAATTCTTACAGCAAGATGGAAGAAACCGGTTAAACATCATTTTTATGACTACAATCTAAATTATTAGTCTGAAAAATAAAACGAGTCAACTATGCCAATGCAGTATATACATATGTAAATATCCAGAAAGATGCCCTATCGACCCATATACTTAACTATATTTTTTGCTGATGCAAATTTTATTTTATTGCTTTCGTGTTCTTGTACGAGTGAGTAATACAGTGAGAATTACTATTAATGATTGCTGAGACACCATAAAGGGAGAAAAAAACATGAGATTTCATGCAAGTGTGATGTATAGGAACGAAAAAAAAAAGACGCACGATCATGACTGATCGCCTTCATCTTAAAATGAAAAATCTTTCCTCGCCTACAAACCAATCGCAATAAAGGAACTGAAACACGATAAACAGTAATCGTACAAAGAATAAATTTTACATGTCAAATAAATAGAGACAGTTAGAATAATTTAACTGAAAAAGAAAAACTCAATAATAAACTTTTTCCGAATAAATAAGAAAAAAACTTGAGAAATTATTCAAGACTAAATTGGTTTCATATGTTCTGAAAAGGAAGAAAATTTTAAAAGAATGCTAATATGTTGTTTTATAACGTTTCAATCTGATTATGGGCACTAAATAATCGAATGCTTATTATTTTTCTAAACAAGTTAATAATGATTGAATACTACATATAGTTGCCAACGGTGTTTTTTCTTTGTAATTCATTTCAGACTAAATTATAGTGAAACAGAAATTTAAGAAAAATTATCATGGTTCGAATTCAATTCATTTTTTATCCAATCTTTAATTATGATATGTCCAACGTTAATAGTCCCACATATCGTGTCTGCGCTTTGATCAGTACTGCATTATGAATTGACAAACTTAATATTTATTTTTTTCTGTTGATTTTCAAAAGAAGAATATTAACAAAAATAATATTTTTATGTATTCAAGATTATTTTTCTCTCGACAACGAGAATATTTTTTCATCTTGCACTCATTATAAACACTTGGAAAAAACTGCAACTTTATTACATTCACTAAAATTTCAAAAGTTAAAAAAAAATGTTTTCTCTATTCAAAAATGTATCTTAATGTTAAGTCATAATTCGATGTTTTATCCGTATCGATACAATTAAAATATACAGGGTGTCGCAAAAAAAAATGTATATACATTTCATTTTTTCGATTTCTTCTCTATACTTTGATGGTTAGAGCTTATATTTTGAGCACATATATTAGACTGTAGGAGCCAACTAATTACCATGTCATCAGTATTGGACTACTGTATTTTGTTGTTAAATGAACGAATGCATCTTACGTATCCTTGTATGAATACAACATGTTCTTCTTGTTGCAGTTAACTTTTTCATCTTTTTTGGCTCATACTTACTGAATCAATGCGGCATAGCTTATTTCTCTGTTTCGTTTCTCGTCCGAAGAACGCATTAAAACCGGTTCATATCATGATTTTGACATAAATAAGATAAAAAGGCTAATTGCAATAAGAAGAGCCTTTTGTATTCATACCAGGATACGCAAGAGGCATTCGTTCATTTAACAACAAAATGCAGTAGTCCAATACTGATGACATCTTAATTAGTTGGCTCCTACAATCTAATATATCTACTGAAAATATGAACTCTGACTATCAAAGTATAGAGAAGAAATCGAAAAAATGAAATCTGTATACATTTTTTTGGGACACCCTGTATATAACTCATTAGATAATTTATCAAAAGACAACAATATATTAAAATTAAAATAAAAAAATAAAATAGAATAAAAGAACACAAATCTAGAAATTCGATTATTGTTCTATTCAGTTTTGACAAAATGAATTTTGCTTTAAGGTTTCGAGAGTTTACTTAATAGTTAAAAAACACAGTGAATAGAGTTAACTACATTTAGATGGTGGTAACGCTGCAAGGTATTTTCTTTTTCTTGTTTCTTCTGTTTTTTTTTTAGATTTTTATTCGATGTCTATTAACTTATTGCAATAGATCATAAGATCTCGATCGTTCTGTTTTTGATCTGATATTGTTTTTAAATATAAATAACATTCAAGATTTCGTATGATTATATATGATTAAAAATCATCTAGAATCTCACGAAAAACTTTGTGTTTAACCTCCTTGAAAATAATTTGAATATTTTTACTATCTAAAATTGTAATAAATAAAGATGCATTGCTTAGAAACAAAATAAAAAGAGTGTACAAAAGCTTAACCGATCGAACATGTAAAATAAGGATGCATATTGTTCTTCAAATATTCTCTATCTGGTATAGAACTCAAATACTTATTCTTAACAATTTTTTTTGTAGCTTTAACGCCATCATCAGTACCTATGCATCATATAGAGAAAAATTATTTTTTATAAACGGGCCATCAACAAATTTTCTTTTATTGTCTATACTAAAATTACAACCAAATTCAGGGTAGGTACATCGAATAGGTTTACTAGCAAGTCGTTCTAGAAACACATCAGGTTTGTTAAGAAAAAGAATAATAGATGTATTGCAAAGATAGTCTAATGATAGAATAACACCCAATAATGCCAAACTTTCTTCCGTTAAGTTCTAAAGCATAAATTTCTACTATGATTTCCATGTATTTTGTTTCATTCAATAAACTTGTTTAGAAGAATCGTCTGCATTATGTTGATCATATTCAATAAGCAAGGCAACACAAAATGACAGTGGTTACATTTTAAATAAAGAATATGAATGTAAAATCAGCTTGAGATATATATTGAAGAATCTAAATATTAACAATTCTATGATGAATATTATTTATAAATTATGTTTCAAAAGAAAATGTATCTTACTCTGTTATAGGTATGCAATTTTCTTCAGAACCTCTATCAATGTTATCCACAAAACTAAACACAATAAAAATATTATTTCATCGACCGTTTCTCCAAATATTTTGTGTATTAAAATGTAAAGATAGACTCGAGTTAGCCTTTTAAAATTCTTTGCATGATAATATTGTTTTAGAAACATAATTACTTGATATGTAATAAATATTACAAAAATTTTGAAACAAAGAAAGA